TGGCTCTGACTCTGGCTCTGACTCTGGCTCTGACTCTGGCTCTGGCTCTGGCTCTGATCTGCCATATGGAGCACAACTCGGAAATCAGACAAGCAGTTCCCAACCAATTTCGGTAAGCTCGACACTGGCGACCACGGCCTGTGTTTCCCCGAGTCCATCTGGCACCGCTTCGAGTACGATCGTCACATCAGCAATGACCTCGTCCGGGCTATCGAGCGACTCGGACTCGAATCCAGTTACATTGGCATCATCCTCAAACTCCGCGACTGCCAGCGCTGCTGCCATTCCGACCAGCACCGTGTCAGCCGTGGTTACATCCAGTTCGACTTCCGGAACGGTCGCTGTCGCTGATGGCGCAACGTCCAGTGGAGATGACGCCTCGAGCACAGATACTTTAACTACCTCAGTCGCAGCATATGCTAGCCCAGCGACATCAACCATGAATCAATTCACGTCCTCTCAGCCGAGTTCCATCTCAAATGCCGTGAGTCCAGTCACAGCGCGACCATCCTTGGCTAAGATGGTTTGCAACCAAGATAATTGCCTCCGCAACTTGATCGATCCTCGTTATTCATCCGTTATGCGTGGCTTCTGTGCGGGCTACACGACCACAGAATCCAACACCGCCCCTCTACCAACCTTTTTGGGTGGCTGCTCAGCGAACGTTAACCGAGTGAGTAGCGCTTGTTCCTGTCTCATTGCCAGCTTCGGAACGGGCACAGCAACTTCAGGGACTCCGGCAATGACGGGACCACCATTACGTGCAGGGAGTCCCTCTTGGAAGCAGACTCCTTCTTGGAAGTTAAAGCGGTCACCTTTGCGGTGGAATCGACCAGCATTGTAAGTAAGTACAGAGGCGGAATTAGTAGATATTTTTTCTTCCGGGAGTTTTTGATGTACCTGGATAGGACGGGGCGTCAGGGGGCTAGGTGATCAATGACATTCAGGACAATCGGACATTGCGCGCTGGCTTATTTGCCAAACATTCCCTTTTGCTCCAAGACGTGGATCAACCCTGTTTTCATCTCCAGACCTAGTCGAGGGTTCACAAGCTTGGTGAATCGATCGCTGTTCCATGGCTGGGTTTTGAGTGATCGGGGATGTTGCTTAGCCATTAACAATCGGCAATCTAAAAAACAAATGTCCCAAAAAACCTTCATCTTAGTCTCAAAGGGCAAACTTGTCGCACCTTTTGACCACCGACTCTGGTGTTTCTGGTACCTAAGGTGAGTTTGAGCCAGCTGCGAATCCGCTGGATATCATTCTATGCGTCAGGTTTGCCTGTTAGAGGTACGTGTCGGCTGTAAAGATGGGCATTCAGCAGCTGCCCCGCATGACAGCGAAGATATCGTCCTGCAGTACCTTGTTCTGTCATGTAGAATGCGAGTCTATCTCTGCACTTCGCAAGGACTTCAGATATCCATCCGCGACCAGACACGAAAGTAGCCTCTCGTGCCCAAGTCGCGCCGTTAGGCTTGATCATGGGGGATTGAGCCCTTAATGATTTGTGACCGCATCCCCAAAAGTGACGCATCAAACCCGGAGTCGAGATAGTGAGACTTTGATCATGAAGAGCAGGCGATCTTTGAGTCTACCACCCCAGCGCAGCCTTGCCAGGCTGAGTCATTCCACGAGGCTGACCCTGATTGGTGGTGTCTTGGCATAAATCTTGGCGCCCACGAAAAATGCGCCCGCTCCTGCATCTCCATTCGGCCGTCAATTTTCGAGCCTCGACTTTCCCAAACGTCTCCTTCAACTGCAAACAAGTCTCCCGTAAGACTTCACCCTTCCCGGCCACGACGATTCGATCACTGATTCATTCGCAGAACGTCTTGTCTGATAATTCACCAAAATGACGAAGGGAACGAGTTCATTCGGAAAGAGTGAGGAATCATCCGCAATTCCCACCAGGAAGTTCAAAACAATTTCGATTTGGTATTCTGACGGAAGATTGTGAACAGGACACAACAAAACGCATACTCTGTGCAGGAGGTACGTTGTTTCGCGCATTTGCCTGCTCTGGTCCTGTAATTGGGAGCATTGGAAGCGATTGCAAATCGAACTTGGGGGCTAACTTGATTCAATTCATACAGATGCGGTCGTCGAAGCTTGCACATCCAAAAACATACCTGCGCAAACTGCGGAGTACGTCGAAAACCCTCCATTCTCTTGTCACCATCACCTTCTCTCCCAAAGCGATCCGCGGCCGTTGGATTTTGGACGATAACAAATGCGGAATATGTTGGGGATCTGGGAACTGACTGTGCGCGATAGTATCCTGCTGCTAAGACCCGCAAATACGAGTGGAGCGAGAAGGCCAAGAGACGCAAGACCACCGGCACCGGTAGAATGAGGTCTTTGAAGCTGGTCGCTCGGTAAGGACTCCTACTGTTTCTTTGTGTATGATTGGCTTTCCGGGAAGAAGAGATGGCCTACGATTCAAGGGTGGGAAAGTACGCCGATTAAGGACTGCCAACGAGGCGAACCTAAAGTTCTATCGGTGGAGGCGTCATGCGGGAGATGCGCGTTGTTTGAAAATCAGGACGTGAACTAACGAGATCTCCGAGCACAGGAAATCAAGCAACGCATTCCGGACTGGCGCACCGAAGGGAGCTCGTGGGCCCTCAAAGGCATGATTGGAGTGACAAGATGATTTGTGAAGGAGCTTCATGATTTCGCATCGCGATTACATTGAGACGTGGTTCACCGAAGAGCAAAAGCTATGCGACACCAGTAGGAGTGTATGGCCCGTATGTGGCTGGACAATAGGGAGGCTTCAGGTTCACCAGCAGAGCGAGCGTGTTGGCTGCAGGACGAGACACCAAGGATGTCGCACTCCGGGTCATATTCATGGGGGCGCAATCAGATGCGGTGGGCATTGCGTTGTTCAGATAAAATGAGAAAAACCAAAAGGGCAAACTTTTTCTTGCCTCTTTCGAGCCTGTCTGGAGGACGCTTCGAAAGGGGCCCAAGAAACTGAAAGAATTGACATCGAAACTCATGTTTAGCCTCTCTCCCTAAATCCTATGCCCCTTCTCTTCATGACTGAATACTTGTAGAAAAGCCTCGCCACTCACCTGACTTTGTTGAAATCTCGGTCGTTGTTGTCGCGTTATACGCTTCTATTACCATACCCAATATATAATCAGGCCTATATCCCACCATTCACTTCATGGAGAAGAGCAATCCCTAGGCAAAGAACCTTGCTTTCGACCACCGTGTCTAGGAAAAAAAAGAGAGAAAAAAAGAATGCCCCCGGCAATTCCCCCTCCATTGGCTGCCTACATCCAGTCCTCCGTCTCCCGGGCCAGCAGCCCGCACAGTCAAACCCTCATCACCTCGGTTCTCAGCACGCCTTCGCCCTGGCTGGTCCTGCGGCTCATCTATGCGGCCTTGCATGGCGTGGGCGTGGAGGACGACCTCCAAAACATCAAGGTGGATGACGCGGGGAGACCTGAAAGAACGGCGTCCACCGCATCAGCCGTGCCGCCGCCACCGGTGGTTGTGTTTGCGAGTTTTCTACGGCCGTTGAGTCTGTGGATTGAGCTGGGGAAGAAGATTGTAGGTTTCTCTCTGGTTTTGTTGTTGTTTTTTATCTCGTCGCCTGCTTGCGCTGGAGGTTTTCTCTCAGGTCCTCCCTCCATTCTGCCCTTTTGGGGGAGACCTCGCGATTTCTACTTGCGTGGGATGTCTCAGTCTTAGATCAGTCGCGAACTCGTGAAGCGTACGACTTGGATGCTGACTATTCCGGTAGGGTCTTGATATCCAGTCGCTGCTCCAGGCTAAGAGAATCGTCTATGTGGATGGGCTGACGCACGGATCCCCGCCTCCTATATCGATGTCAGGAGGCCGTGGAGGAGACCCGGCTCTCTCACCGACGACGACGAGGCTGAAGTCACTGGCACTGAACGACGTGCAGGACGCTCTGAACTCGGCATTAAAGAGCATCTCTACGGCTACATCTACCCTGGCATCGTCGATATCGAGTTCATCATCATCAGGCACGCCGACACCACGGATGCCCTCCTTGGCATCAGACCCTCTAACTCGAGCCCCTGAAGCCGCAAAGCCCTTCATTTTCCTGGACGGCATCGACTTTCTCGTCGCCTGCCAGCCTTTCCTTTCGACTGTATCCGTGCAGGCGTTCCTGTCCACTCTGCGTACCCAGTCTCATGCACTGTTACTTACCTGCAGCGCCGATGCTCCGTTGCTGCACGTAGCTACGTCCCCAAACGAGGGAGGAGGGATGCCCTTGGAGCGTAATCATGCACATCTCCTGACGGCCATGGCGCACCAAAGTCGCTGGGTGTTTCAGCTCAGAGGACTGGACACGGGCAGTGCGAAGGACGTCTCCGGCGTAGTCAGGGCAAGTAAGGGAGGTGGATATGAAAGTAATGAGGATGAAGTCGGGGATCCAGGCCACACGAGAGCTGGGACCGTCGATGAATTGGACGATGCAGAATGGTTATATCAACTCAAAGGAGACGGGTCGGTCAGGGTTTGGAGTCGTGGCGAATGAATCCTCTTAGCTGGCGGCTTGGTTTATGCGTATGTGGCATACCCGGATCTACTGCGTAACGGGTGTTACAACGTCTCAGTGGCACGAGAAGTTCTTGGTATCGTTGTATATAAACTCTTTCCAGAGTATGGTCTCGGTGTTCTGCCTTCTTACTCCAACAATGTGGATGTAATGTTTGTGAAAAGCAATGCAATTTATGCTTCGTTCGTGTCCAGTGAGTGGTTTCTGATACTAATATCGCCGGAAGCAATTCCGCTTCCCGTCTCAGGCTTTGGATCGCACGGATGATGCCATCGTCGCTGACCACTCCTCATGGGATTTCTCGGCCGACAGTAGCACCGACTATCTTTCGGGAGTTATGGATGGGCCTGTTGTCGAGAGAATTTCCTGTATCCACGCCTTATAACACATATCATCATTCAAGTTGCTTATTGTCCCTGTTAGAGCTCTGGCTTTGGACTACCTACCTTTTTAGCAAAGCATGTCGGATCCATTTTGGTACACGTTTCCCTCTCCATTAGAAGGTTATCAAGATCTCCCTCCACTTCCGGACGAGTTAAATGAGGATGGCAAGTCCTTCAAGAATTCTCACACGGCTCCGTTGAGCAAAAGCTATCAGGAATTCACCTCTGGTGTGACCAACGGCCAGCGAGGTGGTTTTGATGTCCACATTTACTACCACTTGAACAGCGACGAGCAGAAGGAGTATGCCCGCGCGCTTTGGGAGAGAATCCGAAGGGAGTTTCCCGAGTTGAGGTAAGTCTTTGGGCAGTCTGGTCGCGGTGCTGTACTCAAGCAACACGTCAGGATCTATCGACTCTGGGATCGACCGGTTGGTCCACATACAATGGCCATGTTTGAAGTGAATATCTTCACACCCGCGCAGTTTGGAGCTTTCATCCCATGGTTGGTCATCAATCGAGGGCCATTGTCTGCTCTTGTCCATCCCAATCATGAGGATGGCGATGCATTGAGGGATCATAGTCAAAGAGCCACATGGCTGGGAGAGCGTGTGCCGCTTGATTTGGGCATGTTGAAGAGGTTTTCTGGACAAAAGAACCAGTGAGCGGGCGAATGGGAAAACAGAGTAGAATGAATCTACTCGATGTGCAGGAGACCTTTTGCGGACTTGTGTGTGTTTTTGTTCCAAGGCACTTACCTTCATCTGCTGGCCAGCCTGTTTCTCAGCTGAAGAGCACTCCATCCTCAACTGCTTTCAATTCACTTCCGATCCACTTCCACTTCACCTTCTCTTTGGTCTGTCAGACAGTTTGTCCCTTTGTCGCGCCCCGCTGCCTTTTTGCGATGTCGAGTAGGCTTCTTCATGCCCCGCGTGCAAGAAGTCACACGGGTGCTTGGCCCGCTGCATTTCCCAACGTGTTTTCAAAGCGAGAGGATCTCCTTCCCAAGTCTATCATCGAACCGCCGAATCCTTGCAGTGCTCCTAGCCCTCCCACCTCTGGACTGTCTGATCTTGTTGACGACGCCGATGTCATGTTTTCTCGTGTCTCGCAGTCATGTACCCGGAAGGGGCCACTGGACCCGGAAGAGGTTACTGTGAACGATTTTGGTCGTTATTTCCCTCACAAGCAACAAGAGGCAGAGATATCAGACTCCGACTTCGAGCTCAAAGAGGATGACGACGACGATGATGAGACTGTACAGGAACGACCTTCCAAATATAACGTGAAACCACCTGCGAGACCATCCACTCAATTTGACGCCATTGCAACCCCTACACTTTCCGCTCCTCAATCTCCCCGCAAGACACCTAGAACTCCCAGCACGCCGCAAGCGACACCTATGAAAACAAGATCTTCAACATCTACAGCTCACAGCTTGAGCAAGTCCCCGTTCCGAGGGTGGAGGGGAAGTCGGCGGACACCCCCGGCAGCAGCACCAGAGCTCTCTCCTTCTGAACGAGCCGCTACCACCATTGCGTATGACCTTTTGGACAAGGACAGTGTAGAGGATGCCGAACTGCCAGGCGTTCCTGAACGAAATCTTCGCAAGAGGACTCTGCAACAAACAAATCCTTACAAGTTCGATAAGCACCGGCATCAGTTGTCACGAAAGACTGGCCGCGCAGCCAACTCCAAAAAGGTGGAAAAGGCAGTCAAAGAAGAGATTGACGTGACCGGAAAGCAACTGACAACGAAGAAACTTCGAGTATCTAGCGGTGATTCCGCCAAAGCCTTGACCCTCATGAAGCAGGCTCCGGATAATCGCAATCGATCCAAATCTGTCTGCTCGGTAACACCCTCGCCAGAAATTTATCCTGGGAATGTATTTGACCTGGCGAGGACTACACTGCGGGTGCGGTTGGACGGCTTTCCTGGTGGCGCAGCGACACTGATCACACTCGGCGAATGCGAGGACAATGACAAATTGATCGATTTCATTCTCAAGAGCTGGGAATGGAAATTCAAGGGCGCTGGCTTCTCCCACGCAGTCGTGTCGTTTCCGTGGTTGAGCAAACAATCAAACATCCTTCTTCGCCCAGGGTTGACGGAGAGTTTCCAGGGCATGGTGACTGAGATTGAAAATGCACCCGTCTGGACAGAAGGGGGTCATGCAAGATGCGATATTGAAGTGACGGTGTACCTGCAGTAGCGGGGGGCGGTGATAGATGCAATTTAGCAGGATGGGCACCACCTGGGCAACACCAAGCTAGGCAAGATGCTGACATCAAGACACGAGGTGAAAGAGCGCTACTCGTCCTGTGCAGGAGAGAAAAGACCAGAAGAGAGACTTGTGAAAAGGATCTGCGGTAGGGGGCAAGGTGTTAGCAAACTCAGACCTGTTAGTTTGGTGGGCTAGTGTAACAGAAAACATGAAACGAGCAAAGCTTTATGCCCTGTCCACGCTTGTGCTCGCCTGCTGTTGGCCAACAGCCGATGCCTAGTGAGCCGCACGCTGGCTAACGACGATATCACCAGTCGGCTTTCGAGCTGCCTGCCAGGGACCACTTGGTGAGGAAGCCCCTGAATACTCCCCGGTGGGAAGAACATGATCGGTAGCGAGGTCACAAGAGAGGAAAAGGTACCCAAGGTAGCGGGAGAAAGAAGTCTTGATCTTCCTTTTCGTCTATCTCTGACACGGTCGACACCTTTTTCTCTGATTCTCGAAGCGGTCGTTCTGGCCTCTATTACATCTACCACGCCCACCACGTTGCGGACCGACGCATGCGGCACAGATTGACTTCTGAGGGATCGGCTGTCAAGTGCGCCTCTAACGCATTGAACCTGCAGTAGTCGACGTCGCTGCTCTGGAGTTCGGCGCGCCCTGCAATTACCCCATGTTCTGTTCGTTCTGTGCTTGAGCAACCCGACCGGGCTTCAACAACTGTCGCAGGTGACTTTCACTTGTACTCTATTTCCCTCAGTGGTCCTCAACCAAAACTCTCGTCTGGCCGGCTGCCATCGACATCTTTGATACCTCAATCTCTCCATATTCGTTCACTCACTTGAGCCCATCCTCCAGCGCAATACAAATTTCACTTCACTCACTCTTGTGCAACCTCTGTCACTTAAGGTGACCTTTCGAACTTTGCATCTGCGCTGGCCGCCCCCCTGGTTCATTGTATCGAATCGAATCAATTCCTCCTACGGCCTGTATCTCCATCTTATCCTCCACGAATGATCAATCGCCCATCCAGCACCAAGCACCAGGCACCTTCCTCCGACAGCTCAATCACCAATCCGTTCTCCTCACGTCAGCGCCCGCACTTGCCTCCAAGTCGTCCACTTCGCAACTACTCCGAATTGGCTCGCCGGTGACAATCCCCTCTCCGATAGCTGATCAGCGATCCTCCGACGATATGACTTCTCCTGCTCCTCTCGCTCGCAATGAGTCCCAAGCCTCCAGTCGGCGTAGTACCAGTCTCGGCTCTCGCTTGTTTCGATCAAAGAGCGGCGAAGCCCTAGGTGACCGCAAGACCTCGGCGAGCCGTTTGAAAAAGAAGCAACAGGAGATGGACGAAGCCGTAAAAGTCACACAGTCGCCTCCTCGCCTGCCAAATTACAGTCCGCAGCCGTTGGGCATTCACTCATTCGGTGGTGAGAACTACAATCCCAAGATCGCATCCAGAGAGCAAACAAACGGCGCGAGGAACACTCCTCCTGTCCCTCCTTTGCCCGGGAACTTGGACAAAGAAGCCGTTGATCCATATGCGAGGACTGAGAGCATGACCCACCGTAAGTTGAGTTGGTGAGCTATCAAGACAAGGCTGACTCACTCCTGTTAGGTGGTCGATATTCCTATGCAAACTCGACTGTGTCTACCATCAATTCTCCTCGGAGAGTTCGGCGCCGCAAAGACCCCACCCCTTATAATGTCCTCATCATCGGCGCTCGAAATGTCGGCAAGACCTCTTTCCTTAATTTCCTCAAGAGTTCACTTGCTTTGCCGGCAAGGAAACAAGCGAGTCGAGCTCCCGATGGCGACACTCCTCCCTCATCTGCAAGAGCAAATCCCAACTTCGTCCACCATTATCAGGAAATCGAGGTCGACGGGGAGCGCATTGGCTTGACATTGTGGGATTCTCAAGGGTTGGACAAGGGCGTTGTTGATCTTCAGTTGAGAGATATGAGCAATTTTGTGGAAAGCAAATTTGACGATACCTTCCTGGAAGAGATGAAGGTTGTCCGCGCCCCAGGCGTCCGAGATACTCATATTCATTGTGTCTTCTTTGTTCTTGATCCCGCCCGGCTGGATGCCAACATCAACGCTGCTCTGGGTGCCAGCAACGGCGCTGAAACTACGCGAGTCGGCAAGCCATCTCGCATTGTCGGCGCTCTCGATGAGGACTTTGACATTCAAGTCATGAAGACGCTGGCCAGTAAAACCACCGTCATCCCAGTGATCAGCAAGGCGGATACCATCACTACCGCGCACATGGCATTTCTGAAGCAAAAGGTCAGCTGGAGTCTGAAGAAGGCTGGTCTTGATCCTTTGGAAGCTTTGAGTTTTGACGCGGAAGACGAGGACGACGAACGTCTGGACGAGCGCGACGAAGACGAAAACAGCAGCGCCGCAGATTCAGAGGACCATTCAGCCCGGAGTGACGATTCTGATGCGAATCGAGACCGAGTAACCGCGAAACGGCCGGGAAACCATAAACGCCAAGTGTCCACCGAGGATGCTGTGCTTGACAGTGGCTACGTTCCATGGTCGATCCTCAGCCCAGACAAGTACTCTCTTGAAGCAAAGGATGGCCGCGTTGGTCGACTTTTTCCCTGGGGTTTTGCCGACCCGTACAATCCCGAACATTGTGATTTTGGGAAGCTGAAAGACGCCGTGTTTGGAGAATGGAGATCCGAGTTGCGAGAGGCCAGTCGCGAGGTGGTAAGTCTCGTATATCGTCACAAGTATGAGTCCTGACTGACAGCGCTTTAGTTCTACGAACGCTGGAGGACGAACCGTCTCAATCGCCGAACTCTGCCAGCCAAGGCGGCCAACGGTCTGCCATCAGGGCCTAGACAGAGCACTGGTGGGATTCCCATTCCTCTTCAACCGCGTGCTCGATAAGTCTTGAGGTATTCTGTACAATAAATGTACAACAGATTCGAAAATTACCGACCAACATCAATCGAGTTGAAGACGATAACTGGTTCGGAGTGTTCATCTGCATGCTATTGAAACATGTTCAAAAAGTCAAAGCTCGAAGTAACTCGACTGGGGAAATTGAGTAGCTGGGAAACAAACGGAAGGGGATCGGATTCTTTTCCAAAGGGCATGGAATGTTGCGTATGGGTGGGCCATTTGTCCACTTTTGTCCGTCCCTTGCATTACAGTGCCTTGGTTTTTGAACGACTTGACACGAGTCATGACACAACACCTTTTCTCTTCTTGAAGAACATGACCTTGGTTCTTGCGAGTGCAGAACGCAGGCCAAGTCGGTCATGTTCGAGCATGTTTCCTTTGTTGAGTTTTGGAAGTGGTGCTGGCAACAAGACGGCGAGGGAGCGAGTGAGCGTTGAGCATTGAGCGTTGAGCGTCGTGCGCGCCGACACTGAGCTGAGCTTGGTGTTGCAAAGTGATGGGAGCCTTTGGTTTGGTGCTGGAGCTGAAATTGTAGCGAGCAGAGTTAACCTCAAATACCCCCTTTTTTTCTCCTTGTAAACAATCATAGCCTCTTTTACTCTATATACAAAACTTGGCCACATGCGCGATAGGGTCTTTGCCTGTTCGCGCTCAATAACTGTTCCAGGAGCAAACGTTGCTGCCATGGGCTTTGTACTCATGTACAAATACTTCAATCTCCCACAACGGTGGAAGTGGGCCAGTTCTACCTAAGACAAAACAAACCCTCCGCAAGGGCCAAAAAAATTCTATCATTCAGCCAGGGGTTCCCAAGTGGTTCCCCCGTCCTTGGTAAATACTACTTACTTTACGCCGATAGGAAGTCCTTGTTTTTGAGTCTCTAGGTAGCTACCCTGTGGTCGATTGTGGGGGGGTCTATGATGGTGGTGTGAAGAATATATACAGCTGCCCAGGTAGGTAGGTATGTACCTTATATATCAAGCCACCCAGTCCATCCTATCTGTCAGTAATACTTGCTTGCGCTAGAGCACCGCACGCACCGCACCTCGTCTTCCTCATCCTCCTTCTATACCCTATCATCTGCACTTACACTCACACTCACGCCCGCACCGGCTCTACTCGATTAATAAAACCACCTATACTCCTGCGCGGCGGGCCCATCGCGCAACAACTCGGTCGGGACGTCCCTGGCGCGGACATTCTTGCCGCCGTCGCTCACGGCGCGGAGGTTTCGGCGCCTGTTGTCCAGGATCATCCAGGCGCCCAAAAGGAGGGTCAGGACGCAGCCCACGGCGCCGAACGTCGCGGTCGTGATCAGCGCGGGGAGATACTTGGGTCGGTCTTTGTTTTGGAAGATGTTCGAACTATCCCAGTACATTATCAACATATGTCGGCGTCGGCGGGTTATGAGACAGAGACTTTTGGAGTTGGAGAAAAAAAGGGAAAAACGTTCTCGGCTTTGGGATCAAGGACCTGGGTTAGGTAGTGAGTACATACCTAACGACACCCATCAGATTCGCCACGGGCACGCCCACGCTCGTCAACATGACTCGCTTGTTCTCGTCCGCGATGTTGTTGTTATACCAGACATCCAAGATCACGCTGGGCGCGCTCGTGCCCCAAGTCATCATGAAACAAGCAAAGTAGGCCGTGTTGATTTGGGTATCCAGATCCACGGCCGCAAAGATGATAAATCCAATACACGTAAACGCAAAGCCCAGGGCGACAAAGGGGAACCTCCAGCGCGTAAAGTCCGATGCGAAGGCTAGGACCAGTAACATCACTGCCCCTGTAATGTTCGGCGCCACCGTGTATAGGTTTGTTTTCACCGTCGAGTAGCCGAGCTGGTTGACGATCACGGGCAGGAACAGCGTGACCGATTGCAAGGGGACGCCGAGACAGATCTCGATCACGAGGATCACCCAGCTGGTCGGGTGCTTGAATATCGACAGCGCAGAACGAAGGTTGAATTTCTCGTTCACGACCGACGACGAATCCACCTGCATCCTGTAGAAGGCCAGTCGTTTCTCCTCCTCTGTCAGGAACTTGGCGGACTGGGCATTATAAGGCAAGACCCAGAACGCGAATAGCGAGAAGATCATGCTGCACGCGCCCTCAATGACGAAGAGGTATCTCCAGTTTGCGATCGAGGTGGAGTGGATCTGGAAGACGCCGAATGAGAGGAGGCCACCGAAGGCAGAGGCGATATTGGAGGCAGCGTAGAAGATGGCAAGACGACGAGCGAGTTCGCCGCGGCGATAAAATACTGTGCGTGCTGTGAGTCGGCAGTCTCAGAAGTATTACCGGGAAGCTTACAGGTCTGGTAGAAGATGATGCTTGGGAAGAACCCTCCCTCGGCCTATTTGAGGTGATGACATGTCAGAGATGGCTTGATCAGAGACGCGCCCTAGGGGAATGGGATATACCTACCATGCCCAAGAACCACCGGCAAGCAAAAAGACCTCCAAAGTTCTTCACAGCGACAGTCATCAGCGTGCTGAATCCGAAAACCAGCATCATCAGCGGCAGGGTGCGACTTGGGCCGAATCTTTTACTGGCCATGCCGACGATCGGTCCCGCGAGCACATACGGGACGAAGAAGATGGACAGGATCAGGTTGTAATCGTCGCCTTTCATGTGGAGAGTCTTTTCGAGTCCAGCAGTCTTTGCATTGCCCAGATTTGATTTGTCCTAGCATGGCATTATCAGGAGTCAAAACATTTCTTCGTCGAGGGGTGTCAGGGGTTATGTCTTCGCTTATCTGCAACACTCACCAGCGCATTGAAGAGATACATAATGGCCAACGTGGGCAGGATGCGCAGGTCAAACTTCCACACCAGCCGTCTTTCCGCGGCAGGGTCGATTGACGCACTGGCTGAGATGGTTTGGCCTTCTCCGAGCGAAGTAACGGGGATAACGCCATCGTCTGTGATCGATACTTTCTTGTCGTCTTGGAGTATGAGCATGTCGTGCCCGCTGCTGGGTTGGGTGTCCATGCTGGTTGAAACACCCTGTGTATCAACAGGGGAGCCGTCGATGAAATCGAGGAGTCTGGTCAGGATAGAGGTTGTGGGACTACCTTTGGATAACTTTGCTCACCTTCTGATGCTCGAGGGATGTTAAGACAAGGAGACTCGGCGTGGTGTCCGTGCCGGCGGAAGAGACTTACGGGCAAACATCAGATGAGCCAGTGAATCTGGGCATTTCGCCGGTTTGAAGAAGCTCAGCCCTTGCCCCTTTGAAGCTAGAGATAAGGCGCCATCAAGCAACGAGCCCATTATATCAAGAGGGAAAGAAGATCAGACTGGGGCGCCCTTGCTGGAAAGAGCAGCAACAGTGCAGATGTAACTCGGGGACGGGGTATCCGTAGGGATTTAGCTCGTGCTCGCCAAAATCCCTTCATGCATCATTGCAGATCATGTTGCCTCTTCCTCGTCAAGCGGAAGGTGGGATGTGAAGAAGAGCCAAAGAAATAAATCGGTGGTAGATAAGAAGATGCAACATGCCAGCTGCTGGAGAATGACAAGGGTAGTTGTTATCGCTGCAGTTACCCTGTGAGATGCAATCCCATCCATTCGCCCTGTGGACTTCTCCGTTGCAGCATCATCCTGTGGCAGGGGAAGAACAATAAAGAGGTAACGATCGACTGGAAGGAGCCGGCTGGGCGATCTGAGGTTGCGGACATCGACTATGAGACTGAATGATAGCAGGAAGTGCAGTCTTCTCAAATGCGCTCCTCGGGCCACATTCGACTTCAGTTTCGGTGGGTGTTGTCGTCCCTTGGTACCAGGCTGCAGCAAAAGAGAAGACATCGACACCCTTCGTGCAAGTACAAGTACAGGCTCCAAGTCTTTCTCCGTGAACCTCACGACCCTAATCAAGCCGGTCAACATGCCTGCCTTCGGTCCTATAAAGGGCGGTATCGATCTCCCGGAAACTCCCTAGCCTTGTGCAGTCGGGCTAGTGGGCAGATCCATTCGCCTTGGAGCTCATCGCCTTCTGCATGAACGTCCCTAAGATTCCATCTCTTCTCGACTGGTCGCCGACCCATTCCTGCACCCCGTTCGGGAATGGGACTGGATCACGGTAGAACAAGCGATTCGTCGACGCCTCCACACAGCACCCGTTTTTGACCTGACCATCTCGACCATCACTCAACCCATCCTGGGCAATCCGTCCTTCTACATCGATCAGCTCCTCGAAAGCTCGCATAATGGTCTCCAGCGGAGTAAAATTCTCTTCGGGCCATTGCTCGAGTATGGGCTTGGGAATTATGTTTGTCTTCGTGGTGCTGGGCATGATGGCATTCAGGGTAATCCGGTCGTCTTGGAACAGTGTTGGTGCTGCAGCTCGCACTAATCCCACGCACCCATGCTTCGCTGCCGTATACATGGGCAGGATATAAAACGGATACTGGGCGGCCATGGAAGCTGTGATGACCATCCTAGGGTGGAAATCATGCGACGCCGCCACCCCGATGGCGGCATCCCCCCCGTTGATTCCGATGTCGTCCATGGTTGCGGCAGTCTGCCGGCTGAGCAGGTTCCGAGTCCTTCTGGTAAAGTGGACAAAGAGCTTCAGTCCGTAGATTGCAGCCTTCAGGTCGACATCTATGCATCTGACGTCAGGCTCAACGGGGTCTTCATTCTCGACCGCCTTGGGATTTCCGAGCCAGCCCAGCAGCGGCTGTTGGTCGGGTATGCCAGCGTTGTTGGCGAAGAAGTCGATACGGCCGTTCGACCATTCAAAAGCGCGCTTGAATAACTCCAACTGGTCTGAAAACCTCGACACATCGGTATGTACAAAGATATGACGATCTTGTTCCAGCGTAGACTTGATCGATTCGTAACCTACTTCGTTGATGTCGGCCAGTACAACCCTCCACTGTTCCGTGCCGTTGCTCTTATCTGCCTTAGCCAGGAGGTGACGTGTAAGAGCAAGTCCCATTCCAGACACTGCTCCAGTGACAATGGCAGTCTTGGTGACGGTGGGCTTGTCAATCATATTGGCGACTATTGCAGATGTGTCTTTGAGACTACCACGGGAAGCTTCGATGCTCCGGAAGGATCGTTTTGATATACCTTAACCAGATTTGCGAGGCCTCGACCTCTCTGAGTCAAATTTGGTGAAGCCATGTCCATTCAACTGTTAACTGACACAGTACTCTCCACAAAGAAACAGAGCCAGTCAAATGATTGCGATGATGTAACGTGAAGCATTTGCTTAGTGCTCGGTCGCCGAACTCGGGATGTACATGGGAGGGAGGGCCACCAAACCTCTTGTTTCTGCTTGGACCAGACAAAACAGACACAATGCTGGCAGAGTGACTCGAGGTGGCCCACTTTCAAAGGTTGAATGACATGAGCGAGTTAGCAGTATATGAAGGTGTTGTACAAGTCCATTTTCGCTGTGATGTGTACAAACTGACGACCAAAACCTTGGCGCTCACAGTTCCACCAATCGAATGGTTGAATTTCAACGCCACCAAGGCGCCGTCCAATGGGAATAGAGACTGTCGGTTTTGATCTAGCCAATGGGGAATGCACAAGGTATTCGTGGCGTTGATTTAGCTGTGGGATAAGACTGGCTGTTCCTGCCCCGATCGAGGGGTCTGTTGCTGAATTCTCAAATAACCAACCAGTGGATATTCTTGGAGCATGTTCATTGCCGGGCCATGACGAACGTCCGGTCCGACATTCAGAGTCCGACCGCGCCATTGGGCTGCTGCTTCTGCTGCTGCGTTCATAAATTTGGAGACTGATCCAGGAGCCTCGAAGCCCCCAAGCACACTTTGCCCCATCTGTGGTTCAAGCTGTGTTAGAGTCATCGATGGACTGTCATATACCCCGGATACCGGCTTCTGCAACGCACTCGTGGTCAAGAGCAAATCGAGGCTCCTCAATCTGTCGCCGCTCAAGCTGAGAGGTGCGACTGTCTTGAGCTCAGGGGAGGAAGGAATGACTCCCATTTAGTCGATTGCAGCATTCTATACCAATCAGGGTAAGCTCTGGTCACAAGATCATTACCTGACCACTAATGTCTCATCAGTGCGGTCGAAGTCCTCTCTCGAGGAATGCCTTCTTGAACACATTCCGCCTATTGCTTGCCGGAACTGGCTCTTGCCAATGGAGCTATAGGAAGCATCGCTCGAATGCACCTGTGTCTGGGCTGGAATGGACTGGACTGAGCTATCGGTTGATCGATAAAACACGATGTCGTTTCCGTGGTGGAATATGACTTGCAATCCCTGCCGATGAATAGATTTGGTCATACAAGAGAGCGACTCGAAGATGACAGTAACAAAGGATACCAGTGCGCCTGCAGCTCCTATTTGTCGTATATCCGTGTCCAAGAGTTCCTATTCGTGCCTCCCTTCCTGCCTTCCTTCATTCCTTTTTGCCAAACTCATATGCTACCATGCTATACCAAACCGATCAATACTTTACCTTCAGCACATATCATTTTAATCCCAAGTCACCGTCAATGATCTTCGGCAGCTGGTTCTTGACATGTTCCGTGGTAGCCTCGGACCCTCTCTCAGCCTGCATACCCTGGGGCACGACATAACATCGCAAGCCCGGCACGGCGGTCCTGGCGATTCTCTTGATCTCGGCACTTTGGTCCGACGACCACATCGAAGCACAGACCTGCATTCATTTCAACCGTGTTAGTCTAGCACGGGAGGCTTTTATTTCGAGGTTGCTCCCATCGGGATTGTTGATAGATAGATATGCTCGTCTGGAACATAAATACGTACCAGGATATCAGGCCGATAAAGCGACACGAGCGACTCCACTTCGTCAATTCCTGCGTGTAAGTTACATGGCATTGTCAGCCCCCAATGGAGAAAGAAAGATCGCCTTGAGACAATTGTATGAATGTTTGCCCACAGGGAACAAGAAAGATAGGAAAGAGAAGGACTCCAACATACGGGCGGCATTGACACAGTGGATGATTATGTACCGGTCCTTGACATCCTCGGCGATTTTCCTCACCATTCGGCTGGCTCGCTCGGGATCCGTGCTGATTGTGATCAATTTGTATGGCTTCGGAAAGGGCATCGTGTGCTTTTTATAGGTAGTGGCAAGTTGTGAATGCGACGAGAAGTCAGGAAGTGAAACTCGGGTTCAATGCTTCTGCTTCACGCGAGACAACAAATGATCTCCTTCTCAACGAATGGAAACCAGACCGACAGAGTTCAGTAACGGAAACTAAGCGCTGTCAAATATCCCTTTGGAACTGGATATTGCTTTCACAGGGAGACAGATATCGAGAAGGAGGAATCTAGACCTTGACTTGTATAGGATGGTGCAACGCAGGTGGCGCAGGCGCTGCTTTGTGGCAGATGACTGCAAGATACAGCCCCTAGCCACCTTAGCTGGGCAATTAACTCGTAGATCAGCATTAAACGCGGCTTGGATGCCTGACGATGATGGAGATGGATGGGAGTCCCTGGACCCGTCGATATTGGGGGTTCTAGAACCGAGCAACGGTCCCTTTGAAGACCGCGGTGCCGCGGGGAAACGGTGCAGTTCTTGTGGCAGACACGAGATTGGCGAGAGCGTTAAGACCGTAAACTCCTCGAGGGACCCAGTATCTTTTCCCTCCGCGAGCAACCGAGAAATCGTGGGCCATGGCGGCCGAGATACCCATATCCAACGAGGACTTTCCCATTGTCGCAATCCGATCGACCCTGCCCAAATGCTCATGATAGGTCTGTCCACCCCTCGGTGCCTTTGCGCAGGGACGATAGCGGGCTTTTTGTCCTCCGATCCCTCGATTCCTCGCAACAAAGGCGAGGGGTCCATGAGGAGAACCCTGGTAGAGAGGGGGCAGTGCTCGTTATTCACCCCAGGGTCGTCTTCTCGCAGGATTCTCCCTTACTTGCCTCTATGGGTGGGCGACACCTTTCCGCCGTTGCGCTTATCCCTCTCCGGGCGCTGCTCCGGACGACCATCTGAATTCCGCCGAAAAGAAGATCTCTCCATCCGACTTGGCGGCTTCAGAAAGGGGCGGCACGGGTCTGACGAGGAGAGCGTACGACAGGGTAGTATCACAGAAGTGATTAACCATTAGTTATGTGGTCAGTATTATTCCTTAAGAGTATTCCATCTACTGCTGAGTACAGCGGGATCCCTCTACTTATTACTACATATTAGCCGTTTCTTACATGGCGGCCTCCTGGTCGTTAACTGTGTCACTCTGTGCCATCCATTTCTGAAGTCAGCTTGGCTGTCGATAAGCAAGTTCCTCATAGCGAGGGATGCCAAAGTGGGCTGGCTCGAAATGCATCCTGATTTGATTCAGCTCCAATTAATGCTTCAGAAGCTATCTGAGGTAAGTGTGACAGCTACAGCTCCTGCTGATGATGAAGAACCAAAAATGGGTGAGTAGGTACCCAAAACTTCGTATGCATCTCCCGCCATTCCATTCCCAGCCAGAGCTCTGTCGTCCCAGATACGTCCATGGTTTAATTATCCCAACATCTCCACCACCCTGCGTATCTGCCATCAAGCCATCAATCGGGCGGTCGCCAACCGCTGGCTCCACGCTGATGCGCGTCGTGTTCGCTTGGCGCAGGCCCAAATTGTTTGCCGCATCGCCAGGACCAGTACTTTGACAGAGCGTAGTAGACGTAGTTGTCAGCATTGTTAAGGGTCTGGGGCCAAGCTTGGTCCCAACTTCCATAGATGTCCTTGATCGTCTTGGCATGGTAGGCACCATACCCGTTGGGTGGAAATGGGCCGGTGTAGTCTTCGATCGCTCGGAAGCCCATACTTGTAGTCTTGATATAATAGTACCAGTTGGGAACCTGTATATACAAGAACCCCCAGTGCATGTACTCGTGCAGGATAATGGAACCCATGGTCTTCATCCAGTCCGAGTCAAAATCCCCCAGACCGTCGCACGAGTATCCAGGGAGCGGCCGGCCTTGGTTGTCTCTTGCCCATGACGTTTGTGGAGGGTTGGCAATCTCTTCGATGGACGGCCAGTCAAAGGCGTCGTCACAGATATAGATTTCGGCATTCGCGTCAGCATTATCCTCGCTCATCCACGCATTGACCTGTCCTTTGCACTGTCGCTCAGTTGGTCGAGCCGTGCTGTCTCCTATATAGATCCTCGACTGCACGAACCGGGAGCTCAGTTGTGCGTTGGGCCCTGTGAGGACAGAAACAAGGTTCTCTGCCGTCACCACCTCGTCCAACGGTAGGTTGGCAAGGGTGCGAAAAATTCGTCTCACGAAGTCCGCATCTTCAGGTCGGAAATACCGCAAGAATGCCTGTGAAAAAGAGACAGTCAGGATCGAAAATGCTTGACGACTTATCGTCTCCCACTCCTCCTCCTTCCGTTTGCGACATCACCTCATGTCTGGGGAGCATACCTCTTCACACGAACGGAATGTTAATGCCACTACTCTCGCAATATGAATGGCATCCTCCAACCCTTCTTTCACCCTGTCGATTCGCGCCTGTGGGGTGTCGGGGATATACTATATCGCCGGCGCCGTCCCTTGGCACGTCGTTATCTTCAGGCCCAGAAAATGAAGCAGCAAAAGAAGTCGGAGTAACAAAATGGCACCCATGATGTTAAAAATCCATGGCGGTTGACTCTATTGCCGTTTCTGAGAGCGTCGGAAGTGTGGTCAGAAGCGGTGACGCACTCAAATGCGAGAGGTTGCTGTGCTAAAATCTGAAATGTCCAGATCGTCAGTTAGAGAAGATCGGGAGAAGACGTGAGCGACACTCACGTTAAGTAGCACTTCGATAACCCCTTCGTTGGCCGGAGAAGTCTCATTTCACGTATCGTCACTTATGGATTTCACTGCTCGCACTGCTCCCTTTGCCGGAATGATATGATGCAGATGCAGGACAGGGCCGCCAGCTGATCTGTCACTGTGATAGTTGCACATGATGATTTATGGTACACTGGGGCAGTCGGTCTATGTCAAACGAAAGGGTTAGTAAGTCGTGTTTGACGTTTGCGTGGATGCCAAATATTGGGATGCGCCTGATACCAGACAAACACCCCCTTTTTCCGTAGGTCCACATGCTCAGCCTTGCCTACGCCAGCCAGCGTGACCCAGCTTCAGGCCGTCGTCACACTCGTCTCACCATGATCTGGCACACACAGGAGAGTATCAGTAAAATGAAATGTCAAGGTGAAAATATGACTGTCACTGGGTGTTGCGAAGTGAACTTCTGAAAGGCCTTCGTCTCTTCTTCTATCTGTCTGTGAAGTTTGATATTGCAGCGCAGACTGGCAATCTTCACCCAGCGTACGTCGTTTTTCTCGTATTGTGAATTCGAAGACCATTGTACATCACCCTAGTCTAATCACAATCTCGTGTGTCAAAGAGTTGAGATTCTTGTAGGAGAGCACAAAGAGGCAACTCATCCGCAAAAGCTGGCTGTGGCGTCCAAAACAACCTGCACCGTCTCCTCTGGCCTACTCAGCATAGGCGAATGACTACTTTCCACCTCTCTCAAAGTGACACTTGCCCCTGCATCCTTTGCCATCTGCACGAACATTCTCTGTGCCTCCACTGGCAAGGCCTTGTCGTCCTTGGTGGCAAGGTACCACGAAGGCACATCCATCCACCCGGGGTAGGTATGTTCACCCCCCTCGGTCAGCGTTTTCAGCGATTGCTTGGTGAGCTTGTTGACCCACTCCTTGCCCTCTTCCTCGGGAAGGTCGTGGTAAAAGAGCTCACGCGCGTCGGCCACGATCTCAGCAAAGCCGCTCTCATAATCGAGTTTCCAGGATGGGGGTGGTTGGCCTCCCATGCCGTCAAGGAACGACTTTGCAGGAATAACAAAGCCAGATGCTATTACGATAAGGCCAATGACATGGCCGCGTCTCCTGCTCTCCGCTGATGGCGTTGGTGGAGATGGAGCATCTGGCTTTCCCTTGGGCAATGTGAGGCCCTTGATCGCGCTTTGCCCTGGGATACCGCCATAGGAGTGCATCACAACCACGACATCGTGTCCTTGTGAGGTCTCGGCGACAATGGCGGCTCTGACGGCTTCGATATCATCCAGAAGGGTTGCGGCGGGGTCAGACAGTGTCGACGGCAAGGTCACAAGTCTGCATTTGTACTGGTGTTGGGTTTCGAGGATAGTTGCGATCTTTCCCCATGTCTCAGCGCGGTGCCATGCCCCAGGCACAAAGACGAGTGAAGGCTTTGAAGACATAATGGGTGATCCTTCGGAGACTATGCCGCTTGATTCAAAGAAGGGTTGAGAGGACAGAATCAGGAGATGGAGAGACGGGCTGTTTTTAAATCGGAACATTATGAGCCCCCAACCCTGACAATCCAGTAGTGTATCCACCCTCAAGTGCTTCTCAGGGCCTCTTTGGACGGACACACGTATGATGCCACCATTGGATATAGAGCCACGGGAGGTACCTGGAGGTATGTATCCACCCTGGACTTTCCTAAAACGGTCTCGCGCGTAAACAACTTGGACATGTAAAAACACCGCGGAAGGACATTTCGCCCGAGGCTTCGACTTTGCCGGGCCCCCCCATCTTCTCTCCAGTTGGTTCGTGCAAATAGACGGGGGGAAGGAAGAGGACGAGGAAGAGGACCAATGAAGTCCACGTCCGAATACCGCACGAGGCAATTCTAGGAAAATCCAGAATACGAGATGGATCCGTCGGACCCAAGTTTCGTTTGCCATTAACTCGTGATGTGAATTGAAACTATCAATTTGTTCGTGTCCAGATCTGATCGTCATGGTCAGCCAGTCGCTCGGTATCGCACACCTCATCAGCGCCGGTTTCCATGCTAAATGCTTCCCATACCTAAACAACCGCATTGCGTACGCCAATCGAATAACGAATCCATGTCCAGAATCTTTTGCTTTCTTCGCCAGCTCCTCCAGCACATCGAATCATCCGGAACGCCCGCTTGCTTGGTCTCATTCGCACAATAATATTTCCCTATAATCTGAAAATACCTCAAGCTCGGAACATCTTGACCACCTGCTTCACCGTCTTTCTGCAGATAGGGCAGATCTCACACTGCCTTGCGCATTCGACACATGCGCACACGTGCCCACAGTCGAAGAAGAGCGCATCAATCTCGTTGCCGTAGCAGATCTGGCACAAGTCCGCCTGCTCGTCCGCAACCTGCCAGTACGTGGTACCCATCCCCCACCGCTTGCCGTTCTCAAAGCCGCCGACGTACTTGTTCCCTGTTCTAGCTTCCACAAAAGTCCCCTGGCCGTGACGCTCGTCTTGGTACCATTCACCTTCGTAGGTGTCGCCATTATAGTACGTCATCTTGCCTCCTTTGCCGCTTTTGACGTTGCAGACAAGGGGTCCTTCATACGTATTGCCTGTAGAGCTGATACTGAAGCACTTAGCTCCATGGCAGAGCCCATTAACCAGGGGCCCTTTGTAGTAGTCGGTCCCAAAACCCGCAAGTTCGATGGGCTCGGTTGTTGTCTTGGAGTGAACTGGATGCCGACGCTCCACCATCCGCAAGTAGCTAGATAGCTCGTGAGGGCTGGCGAACTTGCCTTCCTTCTCGAGCTCCCTGACACGAGTTTCAGACACCGGCTCGTAAATGACGAGATCACAACCGTTGACGAATCTGGGGTCCAGAAATGTGTCGTCCAGTCCCACAACGGTTCCATCGACGGTCGAATGGCGACGCCAGGCGACAAACTTCTTGTCGGGCCCATAACCAAAATGTCTCTGCACGAAGTCTCTCACTTTTTCTTCCGACCGAGCAAAGAAGGTCTCTTGGACACGGAACGTCTGCTTGTCAACGTCGAATATTTGAATGAAGCCATAGACATTATCAACGGGTCCGTGCTTTTCAGGGGGTGGTGATGAAGACTGTGACGACTCGCTAGACTGCGAGGCCGAATTTTCTGTGGAAACAGATCCAGAATTCATCACAAAATCCATGGCTTCGGAGTCTTCAGAAATGACAGCGGCAATCAGGGATGCTTCGGCTCGAGACAACGCTGAGAGTCCAGGCGCCGAAGTGAACTGAGTGTCATCGTTGACAGGCAGAGCCCCCACGTTCTCATGTGCTGCCGCGTCAATGAGATGGCCGTGAGGCACGGTCGCGGTCAAGCTTTCTTCAGCGGTCGGAGCTGGGATCTCCAGCTGCATGGGAGTGTCCGGGTCATTGATTTCCACGGCTACCGCAGATGGCCGCTGTCTGTCATTTGAGATGCGATCAATGTCGGCCCTAACAGCTGCTCGGATCGAAGCTTGTTCCGCGTCTGGAGCAGCAATTTGTTCTTCGGCCCCGTGGGTGACACTGCCCGAGAAGGATGCCTCACTTCTTGAATGCAACAGGTCCGCATCCACTTGAACGCTTGCTCTGCCCCCATCACCAAACAATTCAAGCTCGTCCTTGCTGAGCACTGACATCCACAAGCATAACGGCTGACCTATAACACAGCCATCGCCTACTATGTCCATCATGCCAACATTGAGCATTTGAGCAGTGGCGTAATGTCCAATGCCACTATAACCCATCCGAAAGAGTCGAATCGCTAGTGGATCACTAATTCCAATTGTTTTGGCTAGGCGCTGCCTCAGGTCCTGATATGTTGCATTTCTGGGCGAGCTCAGAAGGTGGAACATCCCTTTATGTCGGGACTGTTGTTTGATGTTGTACATGTCCAGCAACCCTTCCCTTCCGACGATGCCTTGGTCAGAGTAAATCTCGACGTTGATTTCTTCCGAGTCCCCCTCAGTGGAGTCTTCAGCAAAGTTTCCATGCGCTTCTTGATATGAAGAATCAAGGTACGGTGCGAGCCACTTCGGAAGCTGATACGCCTCCAGACCTCCCGGCAGATAGTCGGCCAAGCAGCTCGTCTTAATGTACATTGCGAGGTAAGCAGTTGTTCGGGTCGAGTTGAAATCCTTCAGAGCCTGTCCTTCGAGTCCTTCGAATGCTTGGATTCCCTTTCTATTGTAAGAGAACACCTGGTTACCATCCCCATCTTCAAAAGCAAGCCACATTGTGTTTGGCCCATTTGGTCGCAAAACTGTGTAAAATTTCCCCGAGTTTCTTACACCGGCATGAACCATGAATCCGTAGAGGGTGTATTTGACACCTTCTGCGTCGGTGCTGAATTCTGAAACATCAATCTCATCATTCAAGATCACACGGTCGTAAAGCAGTTTCCATTCTCGTGTTGTCTTATCAAACTTATCCCGCGCCAGCATAAGAGGCAAAAAGTTGGGGAGACATCCTTTGAAATCCATGTCCCGCAAAACACAACTGAGCGTTTGCTGGATGTCGAGCACATTCTCAACTGGCAATGGTGGCAGTGAAATTGGACCGTTTGGACCGTCAAAGATTGCCTTCAGCTCTCTCAAGCTTTCTTGGTCGTCGTCCAGTTCAAGTTCGATCGTCCTTCGAAAGGCTTCCCAAAAGGTTCTGACGTCAGTATACTCTTCTCCAAAGTCTCTCATCGCCTGGATCGCAGGATACAGGTCCACATAGGTTTCACGTTCTTTCCTTGACGCTCGCATCAAAAAGAGTATCATTTGCAGGTGAGCAATGAAAGGCCTCGGTCGGATCTGCGAATTGTGCCGCCAGCCTCCGGCGTCAGCTTGCTGAAGAAGCTTGCGGAAAGGGGCCAGAAGAAGCCATGCAGTCATCCCTGCCACGGCAGGGCTGTGGTAGAGCGGAGGAGTTCCCATCGGGAAGTACCCTGCAAGCGATTTCGAGTCCCAGTGGGGTTCGGCATCGGAGCTACGCCACCACAAAGCCTTCGTCGGATCATCGAAGATGCGGATATAGGCGTCAATGGCAATGGTATCGTTCTGCAAGAGCGGTGCTCTTTGCAAGTGTTGTCGCAGGTGTGCATCTCTCCAAGGCCCCGCAACACTTGACCAGCCCCAATCATCCACATACTTGGAGAACTGTCCTTCAGTGGAAGCATATGCACAAGTGCGTGGCTCCTCGGGGTTGTACATCACCACTCCGAGCTGGGCAGACAGTCGCCAATTCTCGTCTCCTTGTTCTGCAGGAGTTTGTATGTCAAGCGATTCGTCATGACCAAGACCTACTACGCCGGGATTTGCTCCTTCGGAAGGTGGTTGACTGTCCTGCTTGTGGCCTGCTGAGGCAGCGGCGGAGGCAGTTGAGGAACGGTCGTCCTTCTTCGCTCGCCGTTCAGTCTTGAGTGTCATAACTGGCACGGCTCCATTGCCAAAATCTGCGTCTGGGGGGCCTTCGAAGAATGAAAAGGTGCTTTCAGAGGGTTTGCTGTCTGGTTTAGGAGGCCGTCTGCTGCATTTAATGTAAGCACTGTAAGACGAAGATGTGTGGCCGCGCGGGTAGAATTTAATTTGCCAGTAGTTCCCATCCACAACAGCAGGGGGTGAAACCATGACTCTGGCATGGTTTGGTCTGTCCTTGGTCCCCCTAACGCCCTCGATGACCCAGCTGAGGCGCAACTTCTTGACCGGACGCACGTCGGGAAGGTCCACGTCTGAATAGATGCGCTTTTCCACACTGGGAACGTCCACTGCGCTCAGCTCTGTGCCTCTGGTTTCTCTCAGTCTCAGCTCTTCCATCTCCTCCTCAGTGGGCTTTGACCAGTCCTCTTCATACATTGTCCATTCTGGAATGTTATTGCGCGGCTCCGGCGGTGGAGGAGGCGTGGAGCTTGAGTCTTGACTTGGGACTTCCGCTATCACCGTAGTTGTTCCCTCCTCCTCAGCAGTTGCCGGCTCCGGAACTACCACACCTTCTGGGGCCTCTGCAGGAGGCTCTGCTCCAGCAGGATTCGCCGACTCGTGCGGTCGAGATTCGGGTTCTGCGGGAGGAATGTCCGCCATTTCTGAGTCCGGCATTTCCATTTCGGGCGAGGATGAAGGTAGCTCAGGGTGAGGATGTGGAGAGCTGGAAGAGAGCAGTTCGTGCAGTTCATTTCTGGGCATAGTTGACGTCTGCGGGTGGTGGCTAGGTTCCGGTTCTGCACTGAATGTAGAGTTTAATGTATGAGGCGGATGGGGATGGGCCTGGACAAGGACCGGTGAAGTGCCTTGGGAGGCCATGATTCCAGCAGCAGTGCCACAACAGGATGCGTAGCAAAGAAAAGCAGCGAGAAGGGAACAGTGAGGCGGTGAATGCTTGGGTTGGAATTGTATATCAGGTTGAGGTTCAAGTTGATCGCTTCATCAGAGAGTACGAACACCAGATTACATTTTCAATCAATCAACGATGAACTTTGGACGAAGGCAAGAGTCACCGGTGAATTCCAGGGTGAGTGAGCAGGGAGATTTTGTGTGCATGAAAGGCTTCCGACTTTTGCAATCCAGAGGGTGCATTTATGCAGGAGTATGGTACAACCGGTAAGTGGCAGGCAACGAACGAAGTCCCAGGCATCGGCGTGGAGGCTTAGCTATTGGACAGCGCCGACAGGCTCCAGCACTTGGACCCCCCCAGTGCAGGTCGCCGCGTGCATGATGGGCAAGCTACTAGGCCAAGCATGCCTAGCTCTGTGATGGGCCACTGCTGCTAGACGCTCCTCTGCCCCCCACGTAATGACTCCCCAGCTGTTGCCACCCGTCTTTGGGCCGCAAAGCCCACTCGTAGTGAGGCTCAGCCATTTAGTCCTTTGCAGCTGTCTGACTCTCTGTTCCGGCCGGCCAGACTCATCGTTTAGTGGTGGACATGGCGATGTGGCCCCATTCCGCATCCAAAATCCATTGGCTTGTGAGACGGTCAATGTGATCTGTCCACTGCCACGAGCTGCCACCGGTAATCCTTTCTTATCCTTTCAAAACTTCCCCATTTTCCCAACCCTCTCAGCCTGACTCACTTCGCCAGTCACAACTCAACGGGTCTGAAATTCTCCATCCGTCACACCACGCCGATGGTGGTGGCGGTCTCCACCCTCTTTCATGAGGCTGTCTGCCTTGGCCATGTGCATCGAGATATCAGTCCTTCTTGCCGTAGTCGAGCAGCCTCAGCTTCAAACTGCATTTGACTACCTGCGAGTCATGGTTTTGATTCTGGTTTGGCAAAAGTCCCAGCCACAATCAGGGGAAAGCTTATTGTCCTGGGAATATCCATTAGCCTAGATCATCGTCGAGAAGAGCCTTGAACAAAGAATGGGTGCTCACGCTTCCACATAGACCTGTTTGTTCAATGTGTTAGTCTCCTGCAATCACGGAATTGGAGTTGCATCCTTTTCATACCTTAACACTGTCCCCGTCGGCTTTGATTCTAGGTTCGGTCAGCTTCAATAGCAGATGACTGCACACGCCGTTGGGGAATACGTACTTGCCCCAACTCACTGCCTCATCCGGTCGGGCACCAGCATCGCTGCCATCGAACTCCTGCGCAGTGTTAACATACACCGCACTTTCGGCACCATTCCGCATCAAACAAGCGTTAGCTATATGGTGCTTCACGACTCCACCTCCAAGGATGATCATGCCAGCTCGTTTCGCCCGCACCGCAATCGTGTTGATTTTCCGAATGTCCTTGGCAATGTCGATGCCGAGATGCAGAGGGGAGGCCTTGAAAGAGTGGAAATAGATCATGTCTCCGAGACTGCCGTCCGTCAAAGCAGGACAAAAAACCGGGATGTCGTTCTTGTATGCCCAGTAATATACCGAGGATTCGTCATTGATCTCTTTGCCTAGTCGATGTATGATGGTGCTGGGGCTCCACATGAAACGTTCTCCAGATCTTGCGAATTCCTCTTCCTGTTCCGCAAGCATTCTGTCTAGGATGGGAATGATCCAGTCCTCGAAGGAGCAATAGTTGTTGTTCGGAACGATGAGGTTACCAATGCGGTTCAATCCCTTGGCTCGAAGGGCAGCCCCTGAGGCAGAAAAGGAGCCTAGGTACGTGGGAGCCAAACATTTAATGAAGTCCTCCTCGACTCCCCCAGCGGTGGTGACAATGGCCGAGACGTGGCGATGCTGGACAAGATAGCGAAAGGTGTCTCGCAGCCCTGATGATATCATGTTGGAAGTGTAACCCAGGAAAATGGTGGTTCTCTCGCCCGACTCGGGATCTCTCCATGATCTCTGAAAGCAGTCAGAACTGCTTCTTCTTCCCACAGGTCTTTACAGGCGACAGACCATGTCATTGATGATACGGATGGCATCACCTATTGAACTGGATTGGAAACCTTGTCCGGTGAGTTGATCGATGAAGTTCGAGATAATAGTTCGTTGTTCGTCTGGTAAGGACATCCAGTCGATGCCTTTGACCTGTTGAGCCCCGTCAGGCAGAGGATCAGAAGCTACCAAGACAGCATCGGTGGCTTTAGTAGGTGGTGCTGATCCCATGATTGATCTCTGTGCCTATTCTTTAAGCGGTTCGCAGATATTTGAGGGTGAGAAGGCAGACCTTTGCACAGAGCAAGGAGAAGGAAAAAACCCAGACGATGTGTTGAAGTTGTTCTCATGTCATGATTCGCTGGTCAAAAGACGGGTGGCCGCCTATCATACCGAGTAGTCAAAACCTCCAGGGCTGGTTCCGGCTGGAGTCTGGGCGCCCATATTAATGTTCGAATCCGGGACCCCGGCAGACTCTAGCAGGCTCGCTAGGGGCACCGAGAGGACTTCACTCACAGCTGGGGTGGAGTGCGCAGATGTAATAAATACGTATTGACAATAGGATTGGCGCACTACTGGGCAGAAGAGCTGCTGTATTTGAAGTAATGCCGCTGACATTTATCCGTCATCAAATTCTCGGTTGACGCAATGGTCATCTGCACACGCACGGGCAACGGATCGGCGGCGGCGGCGGCTAAGAGTTGAGGTGCAGCAGCCCATCGAAGGCCCGCAACTCAGGCTGTCAAGCAACAAGCACCACCTGCAGGCTGCATGCCAGTCCTCCTCCTCCTCCACCCCAGCACCCACCAGGGCCACCACCAACACCACCACCACAAGCGCCTTGTCCGTGTCTGACCCATCCGTCTCTTTTCGTCTTCTCTTTCCTCCCTGGTCTTTTTCCATCCCTTCCATCAAATTCATTTTCATCCCATCAATCCAAACAACGCGATCCGCAGGATCGCGCATTGAAACTCAGTCACTGTCTGCCATTTCGCGATCTTCACAGCAGCCAATACGAGACAGTCCCTTTCCACGCAGGCTCCAAGCACCCATTTCACTTCGAAACTCTACATTCACTTCTCTTCGGCAAAGCGAGATCCGGCCCAATTCTGCCACGTACTGCGTGATCAATAATTCATTTTGTCTCACAGTTGTCTCGACATCGTATTCGTCAACTACGACCGACTTGGATTGTGTCGAGGGCACGAAATCGTACCGACGTGTCCCATTTGAATTCACACAATTGGCCTCAGAGAAAGCCGAAAAAGGGCCACTACCCTTCACCGCGCAGCTACTCGGTCGTCTTGGTCTCCGAATTGTGGCACGCCGCGCAGGGACGCCTGATCAGTGGGTGACCGTGTGGTTGTGGCTTCCAGGCCGGGGCGGTGGATTTTCTTTTGACAGCAAGAACTTCAGCTCCGACAGAACAGGGACGAAACGTTAGCGTGTGCAAGTCGATGCCCAGGCATTGTCGAGACAGGATTATCGCAGCCCTCCAAAAGGCACGCTAACAGACGCCGAACCCACCCTGATCAAGAACCACCTGCATCCGACTTTTAGGCTGGCCAGATCGACCTAGGGATCCAAAGGGCTTGAGTCACGTGATGTGTTCCGCCTCAAGCGAACCGATTCCGGGCCAATAGAATTCACCACACCTTGAAGGCCCGTGGGGGTACCAAGAGGGTATGTCGTCTTCAAGATATCCTCCGCCAGCAAGAGATCGCTCTCCGCCACGGTTTGACCGCAGACCTTCCACCAACTACACGCCCGCGAGCTCATCATACAGGGGCCAAGCAGAGCCCGGCTTGCCACAGGCGCAAAGAGACCCACCCCGAGGTCCTAAGGCTGAGTCTTTCCGAGGCGGTGGGGGTTTTCCATTTACTTCAACTGCGCGTGGTAGAGGTGGTGGGTTCCCTCCGCGGCTCAATGATAACTGGGAGAGGGACCGTGAAAGAGACCGTGAACGAGATCGGGACCGCGATACTCGGCCGCCTCCGCAGTCATACCGTGGTCGAGAAGATGACCGCGTTGAGTGGCCTCGACGTGATCGCGACTTTGCAGCCGCCGATCGGACGGCTCCACCAGCAAGAGATACTCGACCTTATGTTGGCAGAGAGCGCTCGGCCTCTCCTGTTCGACCTAGAAGGGACTCGCGCGAATCAATCCCCTCGACATTTGCTCGACCCGCAGAATCGGCGTCGTCATACTACCCTCCTGCAGGACGGGGCGGCCTTGGCCGCGGCCGGGGAAGAGGCGATTGGGAACGTGGCAGAGGCCGGAGCTCTTTCGTAAGCGAGCGTGAGCGGGATCTGTTCCATCCACGAAGCCGATCGAGAGAGAGTTGGCGTGATCGTGACTTTGACCGTGGCCGGCCACCACCGGGTGACGCTGACCGCTCGGATAGGTATGAGCGTCGCGATCATGAGCGCAGTCGAGAACGCGAAGTCAGACCTAGGGATCCACGAGAGCACGACGTGTGGCCAAGGGATCAATCGCCCGCTAGATTATCTGCTGGAAATGCGGCCGCAACTGTTGCCACCCCATCTGCCTCTACGAACGATCGACCCGGAAAGCCCGAATTTGAGGCAGGCAGACGGCCGTCCGTTGTGGCTGCCCCGAGCAGCGCTCCCCGTGAAAATCGACGTGATGGTGAAGGAGCAGATTATTTTGGGAGTTCAAGGCTAGATACCTCTCGTCGTGATCTACCCCAAACCCCACAACCACCTCCAACTCCCATCGGCCTTGACTATGGCCCTCCGCCGTCCTTACCGTCAGTCACCACACCTGCTGCGGAAAAGCCAACCTTAGCCAAGCCGCAACCTGTCAAGATCGAGCAAGTAACACCTTCGCCAGCCCCTTTTCAACCGCCTAGTGGGCCAAAGGCTGGTAGAACAGCTGTCGTAACGAGTCTCAGTCAGCCCGTGAAGACTCCTCAACAACAAGAGACATGGGCTCGCACTGAATCTGTGTCGCGTCCCGTGCGCCCAGGTCCGACTTCGAGTGCGAGTAATTTATCGATGGAAGGAAGCGCAAAGAAAGATGAGCTGCCTATCGAATCCAGAGCCCTGGCTGCTCCTGCTGCTGACCGTGCCATGCCTCCAAATGTCCCTTCTGGCCCCCGGTTAGGCAACAATCCGACTCCATATAAACAAAGGCTATCTTCAAGTGAGCCTGTCGGCTCTGGACCACCTCCCATGGCTCCAAGGGAACCTTCAAAACCTTCTGGGCTAGACAATCGGTCCTCAGCAATACCAACGGGGCCTCGCCTCGATCGCGAAGCAACAAGGGCTGGGCCAGGGACAGCCTCGAAGTCATGGATCTCTCCAGACTACAAACAAAAGCCATCTATTATGAACGCAATGAACAAACAGTTCCAGCCTGAGGCTCGGGACAGGGGACCTATACCGACGGGACCTAGGTTGCAGAATGCGTTCTCTACGCACCCGGACAAGACTGTTCGAGGGCTTCACACGTCTGCAGGTTCTCCTCCATCTGCGCCGTCCGGGCCCAAGGCGTTGATAGCAACCAGCCCCAAAATTAAAGACGCAACAATGACCCTCCTGCCTCCCAGAGAGCCCGCCGACGACACCCACTACCAAGACGATGTGGTGATGTCAGTTCCAGCATCCAGTGACGACGATGACGAAGCTGAAGATGATTCTTTCGACGAAGAGTATTTTATTGAATCTGAAAAGCGGCACAAGCATGAGATGGATCTTCTTGAAGGCAAGAAACCACCGCCTTTACTACAAGACACGACAGTAGTGGCCCTCCTAATGAAGCTGCAATTTCTCCATATGATATCTCAAGATCCTGTGCCTCGACCAGTCCCCACGCCCACCGAGGTCACAAAGGTCGAGACACCTGCTGCTGTTCCTTCTCCAACCGGACTACTGTCCCCAAAACAGGCCTCTGAGGAGACCGAGTCTAAAGAGGCAGTACCGGAAGTGGCACCACCGCATCCTAAAGGACGACCTCTCAAGCAGCCACCAGTGAACCCGATACCGACACCTCCTATCGAAGACTTACCATATTTGAAGCATGGACCTATTGAGCCAGTTGTCTTTGAAGATTCAGATAACGAAGTCGAACACGAAGCGGTTGCAATTCTACTCCAACAGGAATTTGAACGTAATGCTTGGGACTGGAGATCCGAGCTTGAAGAAATGCACGCAGAGTTCAAGGCTAGATATCCTCTGTGGAAACAGAAGATTCAACAACTCGAACAAGAAAGGCGTGAGTTACAGGCTAGCCCTGCACCCGCCTCCCCTGCACCGTCAGCGGCGCCATCCGTCACTCCTTCATTGACCCACGAGCGTACGAGAGGCGCACGAAACACGACAGAGGCCGACTTGCAAGCCGCAATTCTGATGTCTCAGCAATCGCTCAAAGAAGAGGAAGAACGACGCGAGAGAGAGGCAGCGTCCAGCTCTGTACCCAACTATGACACAGAGGCAGTAGTGCCTCCAATGTTGAAGCCCGCGGACATTGAACTGTCCCAATTTGAGGAGACGAATCATCTCATCCCAAACGAATTGGCTCTGCATGCATTTTCCTATCTACCCCCTGAAGACGATTTCACGGAGGAGGAACAAACTCTTTTCATCACCGCCTATTGTCAAAACCCCAAAAAATGGGGCAAGATTGCAGAATCCCTCCCAGGTAGAACCTATCAAGAGTGCATCATCCATTACTACTTGACCAAGGTCCAGGCTCACTACAAAGACCTCTGGAGACGATCGCAGCCTAGGAAGCGCGGTCGAGGTCGAGGGGCTGCGGCCAAGCCCCGTTCAACGGCTCTGATGTCCGAGCTCCTCAATGGTGACGATGCAGAGGCGACACCTGTAGCCGTTACGGACAGTGGAAGGCCAAGGCGAGCAGCGGCACCAACGTTTGGAGATGCTCCGAGCGAAGCTGACGCTTCAACACCTGTCCCACATTCGAAGAAGCTCACAGCAGCTCTAAAAGATGGTAATCCAGACGGTGGCGGAGCCAAGACTTCCAGAGGCCGCAAGGCTGGAACCGCCACGAAGGTGCGGAGGACCAAGGCACAGATCCAGGCAGAGCAGCAGCAGGCTTCTGCACCTTTGATAGCTGCTGAAGCCCCTCCCGGCAAACCTGCAACCGCTGTCAAGGCTGAAAGAGGGCGAACACTTATTCGTGCTGAAAATGTGCCCATCAGACCCGATCCTCCTCCCCCAATCCCACCAGTGCAGCGACCGGTTGAAGCAGGTTTGCATCACTATCCCGTATCCGACATCCCAGCAGGTCCTCTGGCAGCTCCAGCAGCGACCGTAGCGTCACAAACTACAAGTTATTGGTCGGTTCCCGAACAGCACAAGCTTCGAGAACTGTTGTCGTATTTCGGTCGAGACTTCACCCAGATTGCAGATCATTTAAAGACTAAGAGCCTGACAATGGTGAGTACGCTGATACAAGGTCTACGCTTGCAGGCTGACAAGATATAGATCAAGAACTATTTCAACCGTCAAGTCGGTGAAGTTAGAGTTGAGCTCGAAAAGGCTGCCCAGAAGGGAGAGCAATTGCAAGAACAGATGCGCCTTGGGAAAGTCGCAATTCCGCCTCCAAGTCCAATTCTGCCACCAAAACGTCGATATGACACAACGCTGGCACCCGTCACTCGTCCAACAGCCCAGGGTGAACAGAACGCAATGGATAGTGACCACGCAGTTGCAGCAATCAAGCAGAGCGTTATTGAAGACTTCCCACGCAACATCCTCGAAATGACGGCCTCGGGGGACATTGCGTCTCAGCCCCGCTCAATATTACGCGAAACAATTCGTGACGCCCCTCTGCCTGCTGCCCTTCAGCCAAAAATCGAAGAGCTTCCAAGATTATCCAACGACCGTCACTCCCTCTTCAGCCACAAACCATTGCATGGCCCTAAGGCTGGCGTGTTTCAGGACGATGTTGGCTTTCAGCCTTCTCGTCAGAATCTCAGGGCAGCCCTTGCGGAGCGGTCGCCCCAAATCCTTACTCAGAGACTTCCAGATATACCTCGCCCTGAATTAGGTCAACAAACCGCTCTATCATCGACCGGCCCAAGTCTTCCGGGCTCGCGGGAGCCTCTCATCCCGACACAGCAACGGCCTCCGCTTCCTCCAAGTGCTCCTGTTCAGGGAATCCAAACTCACGTTGAAAAATATACCCTGCCAAATACGCTGCATCCCAGCCATAGCCGGAACAGCAGCTCGACAACTCCGAGCCACCTGCCTTTGGAGACGCCTCAAGACATGACTACTCTACGCCGTATGGACAATCAACGTGCGCTGTACCGAACCGGACCCACAGGATCTCCAGCACTGACACCAACATCAACCAGTGTCTCTCAACCGCTGCGAGCCGAGATGTCTCAGCCTGCTTCAGCGCTTCCTCCGGCAGACCCTCCGAAGCCCCCAGCCAAACGTTCGAATGTGTTTGGTCTTCTTAACGATGATCCGCCAGACCCACCGCCAAAGCGGCCTTCTTTGGAGGCTCCAAAACGGGCGTCCATTCTTTCTCCACAGAGCACGCCCCTTCCTTCAGGGCACAATCTGCTGCAGCAGCCGCGGAGCCAGCATCATCCCGAAGACCCACTCTTGAACAGGACAGCGAGAGGTCCATATGGTCACAGTAGCAGCAACGTTCTCTCAGCAGGCAGCGGGCAACAATCACCGGCTGATTATCCAGGCTCGTTTTCTGGCGCTCCTGCCACTGGTCCCAGCAATGAAGCATGGATGGATCGTTTTGATCCACGTCCTCAAGGAGCTCCCAGCGACCAGCGAAGTCACCATCACTCACCTGCCCCGAGTCCTTACTCTGTACTCCCACCAACCGCACAGCAGAGCAGTATACCTTCGCTCCATTCGTTGCGGGAGAACACACCTCGAGCGGCAGAACGAGCTGGAATTGATCACCGACGGACGCTGCTGGGCCAGATCAACCAAATACCACATGTGCCCTCACCTCCACCTCAACAGCCGACGCAACCAGTACCGCAACTGCGATCAGCCTCCACTTCATCGCACCATTCACGGGTGCCTTCCGCGGGATACTCTGCTCCGCAGCCCACGAGTCAATCCTCTTCGCTCAGTCACCCGGCGGTCCCGCAAAATCATTCTCACTCGGCAAGCTCAACTCCAGTGTCGAGTCTTCACCGGCCTCAGTCGTCTCTCGATTTCCCTACCCGACTCACTATCCAACAGCATATGGCTCAACAAAACCAGCAGAAACAGGAGCATGAGAGACACATACGCCACCGAGAACTAGAAGCGGCACACCAGCGTGAGCGGGATCGCGAGCGAGAGCAGCAGCAGCAACACCAACAACAACCACCACCACAGCCTCAGCTGCAGCAACAGCAGCAACAGCAATTACGCCGGGACATCTACGGTATCGAGCACCATGCAAACCCTCCGGTGTCTCGTCCGAACCAGATGGGAGCAGTAGCCAATCAAAGCCACATGACATTCGGCCAGCGTGAAATTCCAAGAACCTTTACTCCTCCTCACACGCACAGCAACTCTCACTCCCATTCCCACTCGTCGTTTCCGGGTCCTAGTCGTGGTCCTGGCGGACTGGGAACACCTCACTCTCTCCAGCATCCGCATCCACATTCGCACCAGCAACACCAACACCAACATCAACACCATCAGCACCAACATCAGCACCAACACCAACACCAGCACCAAGCGGGACCGCTTCCACATCTACAGCCGCAGGGGCCAGGCCAGCCGCCGCCTCACCTGCATCACCCTCACCCTTCTCAACCGCAAATCCTCCATCCGGGGGCGGCGGGGCATTTTCGAGCAATGAGCCAAGGCGAACCTAGACGCGATGAGAGAAGATGAAATGAGCTGACCGACAGACCTGTGTTGCGCTGCGCTCAAGGATGAAATTTACACGACGCCATTGGGGTCTTCAGGGCTGCATCTGTCTGTCAATTACTTCCTGGGTTTTCCGTTTCCGTGTTTTGTACATGTGTGAGTGGATTGGGATATTTGTAGGACTAGGATTCATGGTCATGAGAATCTGTAAACAAGAGGGAGTGGCAAGCGGCAAGGTATGATTTTCACTGGCACCGTGATGGGGGCGGATTCAATCACGGCCACGCATCTAGGTCTCGATTAGGTTTCAATCGTACCTTGAAGGAGACTTGTACTGTACCAGGTGAATGAGAAAATAAAAGATTAGCTACCTCGTAGGTACCTAACCTGGCTAGGAACATTAAGCAGAAGAATGACTGTTGCCTGAACTCTGCACCTAGTATCTTTATATACCTAGGTATGACAGAAGCAGTGCACCGCCACAGCTGAGGTTGAGGCCACAGAGTTGGGGATACGTCACCCCCAGATCAGCCAACGTTCCCACTAATAATTACATAGCAGCAGTGATAGCACAAGCCCAAACGGTGATCAGCGAGAGACTCCTCCCGCAGCTCATTACGAGTAGCTATCACTCTGGTTCCCAAAGGGCCAGGGCTTACGCGGTCCGTCGCTTGTAAAGCCACTCCTCAACTCTCGGTGCGCATCGAAACGACCTTCAAGTTCATGATATAATTGTCATTCCCATCCCATCCCTTGTCGGCCGCTCAAAGTCCTCGTTTCATCTGATCTTCGTGTGTCCGTCAGGTCTGATGCGGCAACACCTCTCACTCCTCCTCCAACTCAACCCGCCGCGGCTGCTTGGGCCATGTGAACCTTAGGCAACCACGATTTCCAAAACTCATCGAGTGCCTGTCAAACACGGTCTCTCTCCGAATCCATCGCCCGGAAAGTCACAATGACACGTAAAACATCTCTGCCATATCCCGCCGGTCCCCCACCTCAGCCTCCATTGTCGAGTTATGACCCCGAATCACAATCCAACCTGGTACCAGACTCGGCCGATCTCCCTCCGCTACCTTCCTCCTCGCAAAGGAGTCCGATTGCCGCAGGTACGTCTAGTTTCCAAGACGCACAGAATCCATGGTCCGATCTGCCCACGAAAGATCAGTCATCCGATCGACCGCTGCCCGATGCTCTCAGACCGGGGCAGCCTCGCCCGCCGGCGGGGGCTGGGGCTGGGCCTGGTGTCAATCCGCAGAGTCATGCTCTTTCGAATATACCCCAAGTTCTAAGAGCAGGTCGTTCGCAGGAAGATACCCCTCGGTCGTCCTTGGATAGTCAACGTTCCAAGGATTTCTGGGAAGATTCAGACGGGGAAGACGGTCGCGGCAAGAGTCCCAAAAGGGGACAAATCGCACTTTCAGAAGACGATTTGCATGCTGATCCCTGGGTCGACGTGGAGCCGCCAGAGAAGTCTGCTGGCATCAAGAGGAAACCGGTGGGATGGGGGTCGTCACCTGTACAATCAAGGCCCGACGTACCCACCATCTCGACTTTTGCTTCAAACAATCCGTTCCGCCGGCCTTCGGACTATGCTCCAGGAGATGGACGGTTGGAGATCTCAAATCCGGATCATGACACGCCTGAATTCCCCGCAAAGGGCAAAGAGTTGGATCGAGGGCATGCTATACCTCCCACGGACCGTTTCCAAGGCTTAAACATCGAGAATAGCGCGATATCGGGCCTGCCGTCCTACAACAGCAAGAATGACTCGCAGGCAGCAGTTCCATCGGGCAATGAGCATCAGATGGCGCACCCTCCCATGCCTCAGGCTCCTCCACCACCTCCGCCGATAGAGCCTCGATCGCCTTTCAGTGAACAGCCACCGCTCATGCCAGTGTCTCCGCATCATGATACCATCGAGAACCCTTGGGCGTCCAATGTCAACCTTGCTCCGCCCACTCCATCCCCTATTCCATTCTCTCCTTCTCAAAAACAAGTATCAAATTATAACGACGACCTGTTGGACCGTGGACAGCAGAGTGGAGTCGTGTCACTCAAGGATGAACTAGAAACACTCCCAAATGCTGCTCAGGCAGGCACTGCAGCATATGACGAACCTTCGCTATTAGAGGACGACGAGGCGAGGCCTCCCCTTCCTATCAGACCGCCACGTCGCGCGGAAACCGAGTATTACGATCCTCCCGAAGGGCCACCTCCGTCCAAGCCACTACGGCCCACAATACGCACAACTATCCCATCAGATGAAGATATCGCAAAGATGATAGAGCAAAGAAACGAAACATACCAGATTAAACATTTCAATTGGTTCGATCACAGTTCCCGGAAACTGAGGAGATCTTCGATGTTAACCCAGAACAAGAACGGTCCATGTCCGCTTCTCGCCTTAGTCAATGCTTTGATCTTAGGAGCGAAACATGAGTCTCAGGCGGCACTAGACGAAGCTCTCCGGACGCGTGAGCAAGTGTCACTCGGCCTCATCATTGAAACTCTGATGGACGAACTACTGTCGAGGGGCTTTGATGCTGTGGGAGAAGTTATGCCCGATGTGGATGAACTAAACCACTTCTTGATACGCTTGCGGACGGGGATGAATGCCAACCCCAGATTCGTGCCGCCTGTTTCACCGCCGCCCAATTTGATGGACGCCGATGACTCCATGTTGAACATGCCTCAGCGAGAACGAGCCAAACAAAAACTCGGGACGTTTGAGGCTACAACCGACATGAAACTCTACGGGGCTTTCCAGGTTCCTTTGGTGCACGGTTGGCTACCCGAGCCAGGCTCGGAAGCCGCAAAGGCATTTGCACGATCTGCCCAAACATACGAAGATGCTCAAGCACTGCAGTTTGGGGAGGAGGAATTGGAATATAAACTCATGAACCAGGGGTTAACGGCAACCGAACAAAACCTATGGGAGGATATCAACGCAATCAAAAATTTCCTCAAGACATATCCCACCCAACTCACTCCATACGGCCTTGAAGGTGTGCAAGACTCGATCCCATCAGGCTCCTTTGCCATCATGTTCCGCAATGATCACTTTAGCACAATCTACAAGCACCCTGAAAGTGGCCAACTTTTCACCTTGATCACAGATGCCGGATACGCGGATCGGGACGAGATCATCTGGGAAAGTCTCATCGACATCAGCGGCAAACACAACGAATTCTTCTCGGGGGATTTTATGCCCGTTAGCCACCATAATGTAGGAGACGAGTCATCAACTCATCCAGCTGCTCGACGGACGTCGCAGCTTTTAAGCGTTGACAACGTTCCGACCGCAACACCACTGTCTCCACAAGAGCAACAGGAACAACACGATGCGGACTTTGCCATGGCACTACAGCTGCAAGAAGAAGAAGAGCAACGACAGCGTGCGGACCGAAATAGGCGACAAAGCAGCAACACTGGCACCAGCGGCACGCAACAGAGAAGATCACAATCTGGGAATATCCCGATACCTCTTCGTTCAACACAATCTCCACCCGAAGTACGACCACCGATTCCACCCCGCGTCTCACGCGCCCCCAATCCAGGTGTCAATCGCCCTTCCGATGCCCTGGATGAAGACGCGCCTCCTGCATACGAGGAAGCAGCAAAAGGCAGGCCATACATCCCACCGCTGGGCAGCCCTCTGCATCCCTCGGCAGAACCGTCTCCTATGAACTCCAACACGCAGCTGACAGGTACCGTTAGTAATATCAGCACTCACTCGGCGTCAGGAGTTGTTGACACTCCTTATCACCCGCCGGGACCAAATGCGGGCAGGAGGGATCCAAGGCGAAGGATGAGTGCGTACAATGAAATGTCTCAGTATTATGCCAACTCGCCGCAGAGGTTGCAACCACAGCAAGGAGTAGCAGGTCCCTCTGGGAGAGGCGGAAGGCATGGACAGGATCGAGACTGCATTGTTATGTGAAACACCGAGAGCTCTCGACGATGAGTAAAAGAGAGCTAGGGATGTCGTATAGGATTATTCAATGATTTCAAGATAATGTGTGAGACAGCAAACCTGACGAGATACGGTATAATGAAAAGTTGACCACGCACTCTAGGGGTTTACTGTTACTTGCCTCTTCTGATGACGTTGAGAGCTCCCCGGCTCTAAGCATATCACAGGACTGAAGACTATCCCGATGGTCGCTGTGGTGACATGACCAGTTTGTATGATTGAAGGATAGGAGTCCGCCTCATGTCAGGACAAGGGCGGTCCGGGTGTGCACTGAGGCGTCGTCCTCTTCCACCACCATCCTCCTAATTCAAGTCCATTGAACATATATGATGTCCCGCAGAGTGTCTGGGGGTATATATGTGTGTGTGTGTGTGTGTGTGTGTGTGTGTGTGTGTGTGTGTGTGTGTGTGTGTGTGTGTGTGTGTGCGTGTGTGTGTGTGGCTTCCTCGTCCTAGAAAAAACCCCTGCGCCAGCGGACTCTGATCTGGAGTTGTAGTTGGATCGGGATGTAGGGGCGTATATAGTGTCAATATACTCGGTACTGGATGAACAAACCTCGGTTGCCGCTGTCACGATAAAGCTGTTTTTCTTTTAAAAAGGGCAAGGGGAGCACCGTCTTCTAGTGGTAGTAGTAATACCCAAATCAGGCAGGTAGAAGCATTAAGAGGGGGAGAAAAAAGGCCCATTTCAAACGTGGTCGTGGTAGGTAGATAGGTAGGTAGGTCAATCTTCCTTATGTTTTTGAATACTTGGTAGAGGACACAGTGTGTCATCCCGAATTATTGCTCTTCTCCGCTTTCCTTGCCGCACTCGTCTTGCCTTCTTCTACCTGCCTGTCTGCCTACTACGGCTACATTCATTACGCACATATTTTTATCTTGCTTTGCAGCTACTGCCCTCGGACCGCCCAAAACCCTCCTCATCCAGTTTACCAAGCAA